GAGAAACCCTGTCTCAAAAAACAGAAAACAACAACAAAAAACAAAAAAAAGAGGAAACAACAATGTTGAATAATATATATTCAGCATTGCTCGGGTTTTCTGTATGTGTGTCAATACATTGGATCTTCACTAACACTGAAGCACTATGCACTACTTTCCTCATATACTAAATGAAAAAGCAAAATAAAACAGAAAACAACTGAGTCACTGAAAAGTTAGTCTTCTGCCCAGTTTCTCAGACCAAATAATGGGCAAAAGTGAGATTCTGCCCATACCACGTGGCTCCAGATTCCATTGTTCTTAACTGTTGTGATCCACTGCCTCAGTAGGTGCCTTGACATAGGTAGGCTTTGGTATTGAAAGTCTTCTATGATATATACAGAGCATCTGATGTGACTCTAACCCTTGTATAGACTAAGGTTCTGAGAAGATATTTTAGGAAGCTTCTTAAAAGGCAGAGTGGAGCTGGGAGCATTTGAGGGCAGGGCCTGGAGATTTCTTTTCCTGAGAGATTGCCCTTTCGTAGTCCAGCTCAGTAGAAGAAAGTTGAGCTTCCTAATACCCAATCACTGGAGGTTTGTTGGGGGTGGGAAGGTTACAGAGAATGAAGTAAAAGGGCACTTGGACATCTTCCAGGAAAGCTGTGCAGTTGCACAAATTCTACAGATAAAAGTCTCAAAATAACCAGGGGAATGGCAAGAAGAGTGGGAGTAAGTGAAGGGGAGACAGGCTCTGGTCTGTGGATTTGTGCTGTTTAGATAAAGGCCATTGTCTCTTGTCCATAATACTCTTCTCAGTACAGTTCCACTCTCCTAAACCTCCATCCCAACACCTTGGCATGAAGAGTTTTAGCTGGGGTTTGGATTAGATTGTGATATCTTTGTTGCTGGGTCATCTCATAGCATTTGCAGCCATGTGAACTGTGCTTACTTATCGGCCCTCTGCCCAGCAATGGCTGCACTCACTCCCATTCCCAAGGTGTCAGATTTACTGTGATTTATTTAACCTTGGCTGGAGAGAGTATAAAGGTGATCAGATTGTGCCAAACTCTCTGGAGTGCCCCGGACAGCTCATTTTAAGAGGGAGAGGTCTTGTGGAGAGGCAGGCAACAGACTCCAGGGAAGGACAGTTTTGCAATGCCTTGTTGAGTAGGGTGAGCAGTGATGTACTGAAAATCTACTTCCAGTTTGGGCCTTAAATTGCTAACTCAAAACGTTGCATTTTGAATTAGGGACATTATGTTTGTGTTTTTGTTTGGGGGGCCCTTGTAACTCTGGTGTGACTCTCTTTCTGAGTTGGAGCTTCATAATTCTAACTAGGCCTGCTTTTTTATTTCAAAGCTGAAACCTATCTCCATCACCTTTGCCATGCCACACCACACAGGATGTAAGCACATGATCTTTGGTCTTTTATTTGCATACTCTACTAGCTCTGTCTTCATTGGCGGGAAGTAACTGGTCAGACCTGGGCTGTCTTGCTGGCTGCCTTCCTTGCTGGGCTCCAACTTATCTTCTATGTACATAGCCCTTAGAGTTCAGAGGCCTCTACTGACTTTCTGCTTAGCCTCTGGCTTTCAGCACCCACATCCCCACTTGTAAATACAGGAGCAGAAGGAAAAAAGGGAGCTAGAGATAGTTTGTGAGAGACTCAGTAACCCAGTGTATACCCGTCTCAGTCCTGCCCACCTGCTGCTGTGGCCACGACAACAGAAAAGACAGCTAGGAACATAGGAAGTGAGGTCCAATACCTTGTGGGCAGTGCTGTCATTAGCTGGAACACCTAAGATGTCTCAAGAGATGGGAGAGCTCACTCAAACCAGGTTACAGAAGATCTGGATTCCACACAGCAGCAGTAGCAGCATGCTGCAACGGCGAAGGGGCTGTAAGTGGGGTTTACAGTTGTGGGGGGGGGGGGGGAGGTGGGTCTAGAAGAACAAACGGTGCTCCCATCTACTCCTACCCTCACATAGAAGTTGGAATAGATGAGCAGTTGAATAAGATAGTTAGAGCATAACAAGAGGCTAA